CAGTGCCTCCATGGCCCATGGCAGAAATCGTAATTGATTTCATCGACATGACTGCTGATAAGAAAGCGGATGGGTGTAGATACGTGCTCACAATGATTGACCCACTCACACGATGGCCTAAGCTTTTCCTTTGGCAAAAGCAAATGCAGAATCAGTAGCCAAAGTATTCTTGACAGAGATCTTTCCAAGGTACGGCCCGGCGAGAGTTATCAGATCTGATAACGGCTCGCATTTTAAGAACCAGACAATGACTCAACTATGTGAGAGGCTGAATATAAAACAGCATTTTGGAGCAGTGTTGCACCCGCAATCACAAGGGGTGATTGAAAGGTTCAACCAGACACTGAAAAACAGATTGGCACACATGTGTAGGTCTGGAAAAATGAATTGGAAACAGGCACTGCCTATAGCCTTGATGGCAATAAGAGGAGAACCAAGCAGGCCAATTTTTATGTCACCATTCCAACTGCTGTATGGGAGACACATGCCCAGTAACTTATCTCGTTCACTGGAGCTCCCACCTCCAGCAGCCACTGATGATCCTAGGGAAACTTATATGAAAACATTGGTCACTAAAGTGAAGTTTCTGCAAGATAACATTGTCACGCTGACCCAGAAATCTCCAGAGCCCCCTTTGCAGGCTGTAAAAGACAGACTTACAGTTGGAGGCTACATGTATGTGAAAAACCAGAAACATTGTTGGGATCAGCTAACTTGGAAAGGCCCATTTAAAATCTCCAAACTATACGAGTATACTTTGAAATATTACTTAGACGACTCACAAACTACAGAGTCATCATTTGTGCACATATCACACACTAGGCCCACTAGTGCACCAGAAAGATCCCTGCTTGATGTAATGAAAGATATCACTACATCATCAGAAAAGGAGGCCGACAGGGGGACAGAGAGGGAAGTGTCTGACTCTATTAGTTAGAACATGGGGAGTTCTAGGGAGTACGGAGCAACCCTATAATGCACCTATACTTACTGTTTTAACCAATAGGAATTATCACCATAAAAATGTATTAATTGCCCAATATATATGTATGTAAATGTAAAAAAAAAAAAAAAAAAAAAAAAAGAGGGAGAAAGGGAGACGATATTAATACTAATAGAATTGAACTAGACAAAGTAGAATCCTTTGGTTATATAGATTCTTCTCTATACAGGTCCCAGTGCGTCTGATAAGAAAGGAGACATCACCATACAGCTATGAGGGATCCTCAGGACCCATTAACTGACGAGGAGGTGTTTGCATTGATCGAGGCAAGGCTTGCCGAAGGGCTGAAATGGGCGCACAGAGAGATGGCCCTTTCTTCAATGAAAGCCTGTCCGATGCTGGACAGCGGGATCAACAGTTGGACCAAGCAGCCCAGGATGTCCCTGACAGTGTCTCTCCAGATAGCCCTGTGGTGCAAGTGTCTGATGGCATAGGGACTAGTGATGACAATAGTATGAGAGACCTTCTGGAACTGTTGGGAGTTGAGGATTTTGAACTTTGGGGCTCTGGACTTCCAGACTTTGGAGATTGGGATGTTGGGGTTCTGGCCCCTGAGGTTCAGGAGTCTGGAAATCAGGATTTTGACATTAGAGATGGTGGAGGACAGGGTTTTGAGGTCCTGGACATTGGGGATTGGGTTGTTGAAGGTCAGGGCACTGAGGTTCAGGATGTTGAAAATCAGGATATTGCCATTTTAGATTTTGGGATTCAGGGGTTTGAAATTATGGACGATGGACTCCAGGTTGTTGAAGAATTTGGCAACTTCTCTGACTTTATGGATTGGGCTGATAAAGGGGACTGTGCATTTAACTGACGTGGTTTGGATCCGAAATAAGTGATAATGGTGGACAAGGGGTGACAAATTGGGCTATAAGGGAAGTTTAATTTCTCACAGGATTGTGATAAAACAGGGGTAAGATTGATTATTGATTATTATTATTTTTATTATTACTGATTGATTATTATTATAAAAAAATAAAAAATAAATCATGATCCAGTATCAACTATTTAGATGAGCAATTGAGCAAATCAAAGCTGAAAACACTAATCTGGTATGCATGGGATAGACTTTAAGACTGAGGTGTTCACCATGCAGGTACTCTCAACATGATAGGACCATGGACACTCTTAGGGTTGAGGACACGAGAGTGGGTGAGTATGGTGGTAGGTATAGGGATTATAGCTGGATTTTTTATGTGGGCTTGGGAAACAGAGTTAGGCCAGGGGTATGCAAAACCAACAACTGTCTATGGTAAGGAGAAAACTCTTGGTGTCAATTCCTCAATTTCTGATTATTCAGACATTTTACCCGGCAAACAGATGAAAGAACGCAAAGTTCAACCTACAAAGGTGACAGGGATAAAAATAAGACCAAAAAGGGAATTGGATAGACTGGGAGCATGTGCAAAAAAGCGACAATACCTATTTGGGGTGCAATTGTGTTTAGCAAAGGGAGAACATATGGCATTCCAGGTACCTTTTATAGCATTAGTAAACAAAGGGAAAAAAGTGGGAGCAGAAAATTCTGATTATGAATGGTACATGACAAATGACATGAGAGATAAATCATGGGGGACAATGGTGGCATATACTGGATTAGATTGGACACCAACACCAACTACAGAGTTTGCAAGACACCATTCTAAAATAATTTCCATGACAAAGGGGATTATGCAGGGAAGTGTACCATGTCTTACAATTACAGTGGACTTGAGAGTTGAGTCATTGGACCCAAGAGACAGATCAGGGAAGAAACCTCTATGGTTTTGTTGGGGATTTCTGGTATGGGCATATGTGCCAGGAGAAGACCCTTGGGCATTAATTACTATATGTGAAGATCCAGTCAGTGTCACAAGAGAAGGGGGGCTTAACGTAGGACATGTAGGTAACACAAATCTAGTAATGGTATATTATTTTATTTATTTATATACCGCCTTTCACAGACCAGAGTCACAAAGCGGTTTACAATTGTTATTTTTATTATATATATATATATAATGCAACTCTCTTACACGCAGATGATGTTTTCAGAATGGAGACAGGAATAACAGCTAAAAAAAATAATTGGCTATTTATGATTGAGCAAGCTGCAAAAGCTACACAACTAAGTCAATGTATTGCTTGTATGGGACCAAGGCCTATGTTACATGCAGTACCGACTGTAGTAGATAGGGACAATCATACATGTTTAGTAGAGATTATGATGAGAGATAACCTATACCCTAACTGTTCACTATATGATAAAATATATCCGGTAACTGCCACAAATGCGACACCACCAATTTTTAATTCACAAGTAAAAGGTGAATACACCTGCGTCATTAGGAAGGTCCTTAGTGGAGAAAAAAGGGAAGTAGGACATGTAAATAGATCCTTATGCATTAGGTATGAGAATTTCACAGAAAAATTAAATGGACACAAGTTGACAGTAGCCAGAGCAGATGTGTGGTGGTATTGTGGTGGCAAGTCTTTAAGGGGATATCTACACCCTCTGTGGGATGGCATGTGTGTGTTGATCTCATTACTCATACCAATTGAAATAGCTCCAGTGGATCTAGAGAAGCCAGAGATTTTGAAACAAATCATTAGTGTAAAAACCAGATCAAGAAGGGCACTGGCTAGACCAGAGGAGGGAAGTCCAGTTTATATTGATGCAATAGGTATTCCTAGGGGAATTCCAAATGAATACAAATTGGTTGATGAAATTGCATCAGGATTTGAAAATATACCAATAATCTCTGCAATTTTCCCAGTAACCCCAAATAAGAACGTCGATCGGATCAACTACTTACATTACAACATACAGAGGCTAAGCAATTATACATATGATGGATTTGAGGCAATTCATGAACAATTATCAGCCACATCCTTAATGACCTTCCAGAACAGACTTGCTGTTGACATGATTTTAGCCAAAGAAGGCGGAGCCTGTTCATTGATTGGCCCTACGTGCTGTACATTTATCCCAAATAATACTGCCCCAGATGGAAAATTAACAAGGGCCCTTCAGGGACTGAAGGCGCTATCCCAAGAAATGAAGGCACATTCAGGAGTAGACCAATCAATGTGGGATGGGTGGTTGGATGTGTTTGGCAGATATAAGGCAGATAGCATCAACTCTGCTGTGTATTTGCAGCAATCCTGACGCTATGTGGATGGCCGCTGTGGAAGGGAAGTGGCAGAAAGACAACTGCTACTAACCCAGGACCTACAGTGGAACCAGAGAATGATGAACACATAGCTAAGCCATAAAGGACATATCATCAGAAGAACGGGTATGGCCTGTGATATTGTCAGAATATCACCAGAGGATTTGTGAGTATGCTTTTTATGATATTATCAAAATAGTTTAATCAAAAATGTATAACGCTTGCATGAACTAACGCACATAACCTTGCAAACTTGTAAGAGGACTTGGGAAATCTAGGGATGCGATAAAAAATTTATAAAAATTAAATAAAATAAAATTACCTAATTCAAATTGATGCACGACACAACATATTCTTTCTCCACAGCTCTTGCAACTATTGTTTTTTTGTTACACAGACTAACACCGCAGCACACCCACATATAGATTGTTTTTATAGGTCACTCATGTATGTAGTATAGGGTGAGTTGGATGCTCAGTCCGCCCAGAGGCCTTTGGGCGGGTCTGAAGTAAGGGCTGAGTTGGAAAACCACCACATTTTTCATAATGTCACATGGGGTGGTTTAGTGAGTTCACAAGATCGTCGTGAAGACTGGGATTAGACTGAGTATAGTATGTAATGCTGGATCAACTGAGCGATGGGCCCATCTGAGACGAGAGTGATGGATGTCCGAAGAGTTTCCTCTCCGGCCACAGGGGACAGACCCCCCGCCACCCGCACTCGACTACCCGCTCGCCCCTTGCTCGCGGCTCCCCGCCCCCGTGGTCGGACACCCCAATCCAACAAGACTACAACTCCGCCGCACAACTTACCGGTTAAAGAAGGCCAACCGCAAGCCCCCCTCCTACCACCCCCCGCCCAACCAACCCAACCCACCCACCAATGAATCCTCCTACTCCCCCGACTAAAAACACGAACACTACCCGACCCTCAACTTCCATACGGCCCATCCCCCCCCCCCCCCCCCCCCCCCCCCCCCCCCCCCCCCCCCCCCCCCCCCCCCCCCCCCCCCCCCCCCCCCCCCCCCCCCCCCCCCCCCCCCCCCCCCCCCCCCCCCCCCCCCCCCCCCCCCCCCCCCCCCCCCCCCCCCCCCCCCCCCCCCCCCCCCCCCCCCCCCCCCCCCCCCCCCCCCCCCCCCCCCCCCCCCCCCCCCCCCCCCCCCCCCCCCCCCCCCCCCCCCCCCCCCCCCCCCCCCCCCCCCCCCCCCCCCCCCCCCCCCCCCCCCCCCCCCCCCCCCCCCCCCCCCCCCCCCCCCCCCCCCCCCCCCCCCCCCCCCCCCCCCCCCCCCCCCCCCCCCCCCCCCCCCCCCCCCCCCCCCCCCCCCCCCCCCCCCCCCCCCCCCCCCCCCCCCCCCCCCCCCCCCCCCCCCCCCCCCCCCCCCCCCCCCCCCCCCCCCCCCCCCCCCCCCCCCCCCCCCCCCCCCCCCCCCCCCCCCCCCCCCCCCCCCCCCCCCCCCCCCCCCCCCCCCCCCCCCCCCCCCCCCCCCCCCCCCCCCCCCCCCCCCCCCCCCCCCCCCCCCCCCCCCCCCCCCCCCCCCCCCCCCCCCCCCCCCCCCCCCCCCCCCCCCCCCCCCCCCCCCCCCCCCCCCCCCCCCCCCCCCCCCCCCCCCCCCCCCCCCCCCCCCCCCCCCCCCCCCCCCCCCCCCCCCCCCCCCCCCCCCCCCCCCCCCCCCCCCCCCCCCCCCCCCCCCCCCCCCCCCCCCCCCCCCCCCCCCCCCCCCCCCCCCCCCCCCCCCCCCCCCCCCCCCCCCCCCCCCCCCCCCCCCCCCCCCCCCCCCCCCCCCCCCCCCCCCCCCCCCCCCCCCCCCCCCCCCCCCCCCCCCCCCCCCCCCCCCCCCCCCCCCCCCCCCCCCCCCCCCCCCCCCCCCCCCCCCCCCCCCCCCCCCCCCCCCCCCCCCCCCCCCCCCCCCCCCCCCCCCCCCCCCCCCCCCCCCCCCCCCCCCCCCCCCCCCCCCCCCCCCCCCCCCCCCCCCCCCCCCCCCCCCCCCCCCCCCCCCCCCCCCCCCCCCCCCCCCCCCCCCCCCCCCCCCCCCCCCCCCCCCCCCCCCCCCCCCCCCCCCCCCCCCCCCCCCCCCCCCCCCCCCCCCCCCCCCCCCCCCCCCCCCCCCCCCCCCCCCCCCCCCCCCCCCCCCCCCCCCCCCCCCCCCCCCCCCCCCCCCCCCCCCCCCCCCCCCCCCCCCCCCCCCCCCCCCCCCCCCCCCCCCCCCCCCCCCCCCCCCCCCCCCCCCCCCCCCCCCCCCCCCCCCCCCCCCCCCCCCCCCCCCCCCCCCCCCCCCCCCCCCCCCCCCCCCCCCCCCCCCCCCCCCCCCCCCCCCCCCCCCCCCCCCCCCCCCCCCCCCCCCCCCCCCCCCCCCCCCCCCCCCCCCCCCCCCCCCCCCCCCCCCCCCCCCCCCCCCCCCCCCCCCCCCCCCCCCCCCCCCCCCCCCCCCCCCCCCCCCCCCCCCCCCCCCCCCCCCCCCCCCCCCCCCCCCCCCCCCCCCCCCCCCCCCCCCCCCCCCCCCCCCCCCCCCCCCCCCCCCCCCCCCCCCCCCCCCCCCCCCCCCCCCCCCCCCCCCCCCCCCCCCCCCCCCCCCCCCCCCCCCCCCCCCCCCCCCCCCCCCCCCCCCCCCCCCCCCCCCCCCCCCCCCCCCCCCCCCCCCCCCCCCCCCCCCCCCCCCCCCCCCCCCCCCCCCCCCCCCCCCCCCCCCCCCCCCCCCCCCCCCCCCCCCCCCCCCCCCCCCCCCCCCCCCCCCCCCCCCCCCCCCCCCCCCCCCCCCCCCCCCCCCCCCCCCCCCCCCCCCCCCCCCCCCCCCCCCCCCCCCCCCCCCCCCCCCCCCCCCCCCCCCCCCCCCCCCCCCCCCCCCCCCCCCCCCCCCCCCCCCCCCCCCCCCCCCCCCCCCCCCCCCCCCCCCCCCCCCCCCCCCCCCCCCCCCCCCCCCCCCCCCCCCCCCCCCCCCCCCCCCCCCCCCCCCCCCCCCCCCCCCCCCCCCCCCCCCCCCCCCCCCCCCCCCCCCCCCCCCCCCCCCCCCCCCCCCCCCCCCCCCCCCCCCCCCCCCCCCCCCCCCCCCCCCCCCCCCCCCCCCCCCCCCCCCCCCCCCCCCCCCCCCCCCCCCCCCCCCCCCCCCCCCCCCCCCCCCCCCCCCCCCCCCCCCCCCCCCCCCCCCCCCCCCCCCCCCCCCCCCCCCCCCCCCCCCCCCCCCCCCCCCCCCCCCCCCCCCCCCCCCCCCCCCCCCCCCCCCCCCCCCCCCCCCCCCCCCCCCCCCCCCCCCCCCCCCCCCCCCCCCCCCCCCCCCCCCCCCCCCCCCCCCCCCCCCCCCCCCCCCCCCCCCCCCCCCCCCCCCCCCCCCCCCCCCCCCCCCCCCCCCCCCCCCCCCCCCCCCCCCCCCCCCCCCCCCCCCCCCCCCCCCCCCCCCCCCCCCCCCCCCCCCCCCCCCCCCCCCCCCCCCCCCCCCCCCCCCCCCCCCCCCCCCCCCCCCCCCCCCCCCCCCCCCCCCCCCCCCCCCCCCCCCCCCCCCCCCCCCCCCCCCCCCCCCCCCCCCCCCCCCCCCCCCCCCCCCCCCCCCCCCCCCCCCCCCCCCCCCCCCCCCCCCCCCCCCCCCCCCCCCCCCCCCCCCCCCCCCCCCCCCCCCCCCCCCCCCCCCCCCCCCCCCCCCCCCCCCCCCCCCCCCCCCCCCCCCCCCCCCCCCCCCCCCCCCCCCCCCCCCCCCCCCCCCCCCCCCCCCCCCCCCCCCCCCCCCCCCCCCCCCCCCCCCCCCCCCCCCCCCCCCCCCCCCCCCCCCCCCCCCCCCCCCCCCCCCCCCCCCCCCCCCCCCCCCCCCCCCCCCCCCCCCCCCCCCCCCCCCCCCCCCCCCCCCCCCCCCCCCCCCCCCCCCCCCCCCCCCCCCCCCCCCCCCCCCCCCCCCCCCCCCCCCCCCCCCCCCCCCCCCCCCCCCCCCCCCCCCCCCCCCCCCCCCCCCCCCCCCCCCCCCCCCCCCCCCCCCCCCCCCCCCCCCCCCCCCCCCCCCCCCCCCCCCCCCCCCCCCCCCCCCCCCCCCCCCCCCCCCCCCCCCCCCCCCCCCCCCCCCCCCCCCCCCCCCCCCCCCCCCCCCCCCCCCCCCCCCCCCCCCCCCCCCCCCCCCCCCCCCCCCCCCCCCCCCCCCCCCCCCCCCCCCCCCCCCCCCCCCCCCCCCCCCCCCCCCCCCCCCCCCCCCCCCCCCCCCCCCCCCCCCCCCCCCCCCCCCCCCCCCCCCCCCCCCCCCCCCCCCCCCCCCCCCCCCCCCCCCCCCCCCCCCCCCCCCCCCCCCCCCCCCCCCCCCCCCCCCCCCCCCCCCCCCCCCCCCCCCCCCCCCCCCCCCCCCCCCCCCCCCCCCCCCCCCCCCCCCCCCCCCCCCCCCCCCCCCCCCCCCCCCCCCCCCCCCCCCCCCCCCCCCCCCCCCCCCCCCCCCCCCCCCCCCCCCCCCCCCCCCCCCCCCCCCCCCCCCCCCCCCCCCCCCCCCCCCCCCCCCCCCCCCCCCCCCCCCCCCCCCCCCCCCCCCCCCCCCCCCCCCCCCCCCCCCCCCCCCCCCCCCCCCCCCCCCCCCCCCCCCCCCCCCCCCCCCCCCCCCCCCCCCCCCCCCCCCCCCCCCCCCCCCCCCCCCCCCCCCCCCCCCCCCCCCCCCCCCCCCCCCCCCCCCCCCCCCCCCCCCCCCCCCCCCCCCCCCCCCCCCCCCCCCCCCCCCCCCCCCCCCCCCCCCCCCCCCCCCCCCCCCCCCCCCCCCCCCCCCCCCCCCCCCCCCCCCCCCCCCCCCCCCCCCCCCCCCCCCCCCCCCCCCCCCCCCCCCCCCCCCCCCCCCCCCCCCCCCCCCCCCCCCCCCCCCCCCCCCCCCCCCCCCCCCCCCCCCCCCCCCCCCCCCCCCCCCCCCCCCCCCCCCCCCCCCCCCCCCCCCCCCCCCCCCCCCCCCCCCCCCCCCCCCCCCCCCCCCCCCCCCCCCCCCCCCCCCCCCCCCCCCCCCCCCCCCCCCCCCCCCCCCCCCCCCCCCCCCCCCCCCCCCCCCCCCCCCCCCCCCCCCCCCCCCCCCCCCCCCCCCCCCCCCCCCCCCCCCCCCCCCCCCCCCCCCCCCCCCCCCCCCCCCCCCCCCCCCCCCCCCCCCCCCCCCCCCCCCCCCCCCCCCCCCCCCCCCCCCCCCCCCCCCCCCCCCCCCCCCCCCCCCCCCCCCCCCCCCCCCCCCCCCCCCCCCCCCCCCCCCCCCCCCCCCCCCCCCCCCCCCCCCCCCCCCCCCCCCCCCCCCCCCCCCCCCCCCCCCCCCCCCCCCCCCCCCCCCCCCCCCCCCCCCCCCCCCCCCCCCCCCCCCCCCCCCCCCCCCCCCCCCCCCCCCCCCCCCCCCCCCCCCCCCCCCCCCCCCCCCCCCCCCCCCCCCCCCCCCCCCCCCCCCCCCCCCCCCCCCCCCCCCCCCCCCCCCCCCCCCCCCCCCCCCCCCCCCCCCCCCCCCCCCCCCCCCCCCCCCCCCCCCCCCCCCCCCCCCCCCCCCCCCCCCCCCCCCCCCCCCCCCCCCCCCCCCCCCCCCCCCCCCCCCCCCCCCCCCCCCCCCCCCCCCCCCCCCCCCCCCCCCCCCCCCCCCCCCCCCCCCCCCCCCCCCCCACCCCCCCCCCCCCCCCCCCCCCCCCCCCCCCCCCCCCCCCCCCCCCCCCCCCCCCCCCCCCCCCCCCCCCCCCCCCCCCCCCCCCCCCCCCCCCCCCCCCCCCCCCCCCCCCCCCCCCCCCCCCCCCCCCCCCCCCCCCCCCCCCCCCCCCCCCCCCCCCCCCCCCCCCCCCCCCCCCCCCCCCCCCCCCCCCCCCCCCCCCCCCCCCCCCCCCCCCCCCCCCCCCCCCCCCCCCCCCCCCCCCCCCCCCCCCCCCCCCCCCCCCCCCCCCCCCCCCCCCCCCCCCCCCCCCCCCCCCCCCCCCCCCCCCCCCCCCCCCCCCCCCCCCCCCCCCCCCCCCCCCCCCCCCCCCCCCCCCCCCCCCCCCCCCCCCCCCCCCCCCCCCCCCCCCCCCCCCCCCCCCCCCCCCCCCCCCCCCCCCCCCCCCCCCCCCCCCCCCCCCCCCCCCCCCCCCCCCCCCCCCCCCCCCCCCCCCCCCCCCCCCCCCCCCCCCCCCCCCCCCCCCCCCCCCCCCCCCCCCCCCCCCCCCCCCCCCCCCCCCCCCCCCCCCCCCCCCCCCCCCCCCCCCCCCCCCCCCCCCCCCCCCCCCCCCCCCCCCCCCCCCCCCCCCCCCCCCCCCCCCCCCCCCCCCCCCCCCCCCCCCCCCCCCCCCCCCCCCCCCCCCCCCCCCCCCCCCCCCCCCCCCCCCCCCCCCCCCCCCCCCCCCCCCCCCCCCCCCCCCCCCCCCCCCCCCCCCCCCCCCCCCCCCCCCCCCCCCCCCCCCCCCCCCCCCCCCCCCCCCCCCCCCCCCCCCCCCCCCCCCCCCCCCCCCCCCCCCCCCCCCCCCCCCCCCCCCCCCCCCCCCCCCCCCCCCCCCCCCCCCCCCCCCCCCCCCCCCCCCCCCCCCCCCCCCCCCCCCCCCCCCCCCCCCCCCCCCCCCCCCCCCCCCCCCCCCCCCCCCCCCCCCCCCCCCCCCCCCCCCCCCCCCCCCCCCCCCCCCCCCCCCCCCCCCCCCCCCCCCCCCCCCCCCCCCCCCCCCCCCCCCCCCCCCCCCCCCCCCCCCCCCCCCCCCCCCCCCCCCCCCCCCCCCCCCCCCCCCCCCCCCCCCCCCCCCCCCCCCCCCCCCCCCCCCCCCCCCCCCCCCCCCCCCCCCCCCCCCCCCCCCCCCCCCCCCCCCCCCCCCCCCCCCCCCCCCCCCCCCCCCCCCCCCCCCGTTGTTCCGGTAGACTAACTACTCAATGTATGTGACAGAGTTAATAGGGAGTTACTGGACCCAGGGCCTCCGGTACCTCGGTTCGCAATTGTCCCTCCGTCCGGGGGTGTGATAGTGTCCATGGCTCACAAGGGAGGCCGTCAAAGAGCGCCGCGCGGGAGGAGCTCCTTTGATCGTCCCGGTTCTTTTGCCAGGAGTACTGGTGACGCGAGGGGACAGGGTTGTGATCTTCTGATCTCTACAGGCAGCAAGCGAGAGGACCAGAGGGTGCTTATCCCCGTGGTGACTTTATTACGCTTTTTGGCCATCTGTAATTCCTCATGATTGATGGCGGCCTGGTGGCTGACCCCGCATTGGCTCCTTTGAAAGCTGGATACTCTCCATTTGGTCAAATGGTAAACAGAGTGGACAGTGCTTGGTCCTGCCCAAGTTTACCCTTACATTATAGTATCTTATATTATCACTTTATATACTATATTATATCTCTACACACAATATATAACCTTATACACGCTTCTTTAAACTTTTCCCACTTCTTGCTGGCCTGGCTTGTGGGTGATTTACACCCTCCAGGCCCAGCTCTTTCCACTGCGTAGCCTGTAAGCATACAGTGAATATCAAGATGGGCATGTTACCTTGGGTCAATAGTATTATCAAGATATGATTTGTTACAATCTGGTCCCTCACCACCCACAAGCTTTTTGGTGCGTGAATTTTGTCTTTATAAATAATTTGCCATCATTTGCTACCCTAAAGCGGATGAGGCCAAAGGTCTTCTCTGTAGGCCCTGAAAAGATATAAAAAAATTCCATCAGATTCCATATTTTTTCCCCCTCCAATGCTAAATTTATAGGACCCGCTATGTGTCGCGTGCGATATGGCATGTGGCAATCACAATCTACGGCGTTTCTTTCATACTTTGTAAGTTTTCCGCTTATGAATCGTAACGTGTAACTCAGGTTTTCTGTGTCATTATGCCTTGTTATCACGAATATTTGGAAGCCTGGATAAGCACTTAACATCCGCATGTATACACCGGGACACACTCCCGGCGGTCAGTGTATATTGACGGGCAGACTCTTGCGAAGCACTCGGCATTTTTACGAACGTCGTCAAATAGCGACTTTCCAAGTATAAACTTAACAGTCCATTGCATATACATCGATTTAACACATTCCAACTGATTTAAAAAATTTACAGGCGTATTTGCTAATTTATACTTACATTTGTAAATTTCGCTTCCACTGGTTGCCGCCATCTTTTTTGCCGCTGGCTGAGCTTGCAAGGCATTATGGGATACTCCCTTGCTGCTATCCGGCCGCAAGTCTGCTCCTGTGCTGACTCGCTGCGGAGGGGGCCTTTTCAAGGGGAGATAGGCACTTCCTCTATGATGCGCCCTAAGTATTGGGACACCTTCCCCTCGCGGGAACGCGCAAAATGACGGGAAGGGCTCAAAGCGAGGGCAAGTGTTGGGAATTGGGACAGGGCCTTAGCCTCGCCTAAAATATTCAATGTATAAATGCCCCTTAAAAAAGCCTACTTCATTGGAAGAAGAAAATATTCAAAAGCCACTATGTTCATTGTGGTAGGTGTCAACAACTGGTGTAAAGTTTCAGGACTTCTAAGTTTTATAGTTTTATGCAGTTTCTCTTTTATCTCATCTCTTTTCCTCCTCCTCCGTTGTTGATGTTGAGAGAGATAAAAGGTGAAACTGCATAAAAACTATAAAACTTAGAAGTCTGAAACTTTACACAGTTGTTGACACCAACACAATGAACATATTGGCTTTGAATATTTTCTTCTTCCAATGAAGTAGGCTTTTTTAGGGCATTTATACATTGAATATTTTAGGCGAGGCTAAGGCCCTGTCCCAATTCCAACACTTGCCCTCGCTTTGAGCCCTTCCCCTTCATTTTGCGCGTTCCCGCGAGGGGGAAGGGTGTCCCAATACTTAGGGAGCATAGAGGAAGTGCCTATCTCCCCTTGAAAAGGCCCCTCCGCAGCGAGTCAGCACAGGAGCAGACTTGCGGCCGGATAGCAGCAAGGGAGTATCCCATAATGCCTTGCAAGCTCAGCCAGCGGCAAAAAAGATGGCGGCAACCAGTGGAAGCGAAATTTACAAATGTAAGTATAAATTAGCAAATACGCCTGTAAATTTTTTAAATCAGTTGGAATGTGTTAAATCGATGTATATGCAATGGACTGTTAAGTTTATACTTGGAAAGTCGCTATTTGACGACGTTCGTAAAAATGCCGAGTGCTTCGCAAGAGTCTGCCCGTCAATATACACTGACCGCCGGGAGTGTGTCCCGGTGTATACATGCGGATGTTAAGTGCTTATCCAGGCTTCAAATATTCGTGATAACAAGGCATAATGAGCACAGAAAAACCTGAGTTACACGTTACGATTCATAAGCGAAAACTTACAAAGTATGAAAGAACGCCGTAGATTGTGTTTGCCACATGCCATATCGCACGACACATATCGGGTCTATAAATTTAGCATTGGAGGGGGAAAAAATATGGAATCTGATGGAATTTTTTTATATCTTTTCAGGGCCTACAGAGAAGACCTTTGGCCTCATCCGCTTTAGGGTAGCAAATGATGGCAAATTTTTAAAGACAAAATTCACCACCAAAAGCTTGTGGGTGTGAGTGACCAGATTGTACAAATCATATCTGATAATACTATTGACCCAAGGTACATGCCCATATTGATATTCACTGTATGCTTACAGGCAAGCAGTGAAAGAGCTGGGCCTGGAGGGTGTAATCACCCACAAGCAGGCCAGCAAGAAGTGGGAAAATTTAAAGAAGCGTTATAAGGTTATTATTTGTGTGTATATATATATATATATATATATATATATATATATATATATATGTAAGGTTAAACTTAGGGCAGGACCAAGCCTGTCCACTCTGTTTACCATTGACCAAATGGAGAGATACAGCTTCAAAGGAGCCATGGGGTCAGCCACAAGCCGCCATCAATCATGAGGATTACAGATGCCAAAAAGAGTAATAAAGTCACCACGGGGATAAGCACCTCTGTCTCTGCCTGCCTGTAGAGATCAAAGATCACAACCCTGCCCTCGCTCACAGACTCCTGCCACCGGACAATCAAAGACTCCCCCGCGGCGCTCTGACGCCCCCTTGTGAACAATGGACACTATCACACCCGGGACGGACAATTGCGAACCGGTACCCCTGGGTCCAGTACTCCAATAATCTGCATTGTGCCCCATATGTGTGTATCAATGTCAAAGTAATGAAATACGGTGTGTTGTTTGTACATGTCTTATGATTATTAGCATCCAACTTGTCTGTTGTAAAAGGGGTCTGTCCACAGGGCAGCTGGCTTTGTACCTCCCGCCTGCCCAGACAAAGGAACCACGTGGACTGATCCCCAACCCAAATCCTTTCTCCATCTCCTCTACGCTCCTCCCCAACCCAAATCCTTTCAAAGTAAGACTGGTTCCTCTGTTAAATGTATGATTTGAATGATATGTGTACAACTCCTGCTTTTAATGTGACCAGAAATCCCTTTTCGTTATATTTTTACCCTCATTTTTGTAATCAATAAAATACTTTTCTTTAACTCAACCCCTTCAGAGTCGCGTTGTTAGATCTCGGAATATCACTGGCCGATAAAAGTACTCACTACCTATTAGATTTATAAGACTGACTCGAGGCAAAGTTGGTTTGGATCTGCGCAGTGTGTCATACACTGCTGGTGCCTAAATAAATATAAAGCAGATCCCCCACTCGAATAGGACGGCCAGACTCTGATTTGAAGACTAGCCGCACTATTCTTCTCATAACATAATCTGTAGTATTATTACCCTACTACATATATAAATATTCACCCTACAGTTATATATATATATATATATATATATATATATATATATATATATATATATATATATATATATATAAAATCTGTTTTATATCTTTTATCCCGTAATCTACAACTTTTCATTTCGCTCCCTCTGTCACACACTCACACGTCTCTTTCTTTGTAGGCACTGAGAGATGGAAATACGGGCACTGGCACAGACGGCGGAGAAACAACTGCGTCAAATTGGGCATTTTATGAAGAGATGCATGCTTTTTTGGGGGGGAGGCCAGCAGTTGCTCCCCCAGTTGTTGTGTCTTCCTTCAGACAAGCTCAGGAGGACCCCACAGCCCTGTTAATGGTAAGGTGACTGGAGTAGGAATTGCCATTTTCTGAATTAGCTGGGTTGCCATGGTTTCCAGTTTAATTTTTCAGTTTGAACATTAAAGTGCTGTAAAAAATGTGATGGGTAGAAAAAAGAAAGGAATACACCTCACAAAAACTTACATCACCATCAAAGCTCTAATTTGTGCTGTATATTACTTTTCTTTACTGCCATTCACCTTATTAGCAGTGCTTTAATGCAAAACCAGGCAGCTTTAGCAGGAAATTGTTCTACCGTCCATGTTATTAAAATGCACTTGGAAACCATGGCTACCCATCTAATTCAGAAATTGGCAATTATAACATTTTACAATAACTTTGAAATAAGACCTCAATTATTTTTGTCCCGAACAGGCCATTGTCACACCACAGCCTGAAACCCCCAGAGAAGACCTTCCTCAGTCTGCCCCAGCCTCTTCAACCAATCCTCCCACTACACCGCCTGTCAGTCCAACCACAGCCTCTTCAAACAATCCTCCCACTCCAACCACAACCTCTTCGACCAATCCAACTACACCATCCACCACAGCCTCTTCCATCATTCCAGCTACTCCATCCACCACCCTGTCTACCACGCCAAACCCATCGCCAAGGAAGAGGAAGAAGAATGCTAACCAGCAAATTCTGGACTTCCTCAAAACCGAATCCGTTAATGAACAGAGAAGGCATACGGAATCCGAAGAAAAAACTGAAAGGTTTATAAACCTTTTTGAAAGATTTGTGGACAAAATGCCTGACAAATAGACAGTTTTTCTTTTAATATCCAGGCTGTTTATGTTCATTGCCATGTTATTTTGACCATCACTTATTTCAATTGTTGACTTGTTTTTATTCTGTTTATGTTCAGAGTTCTTTTTTATTATACAACTTTTATAAAAGTATGTGACTATCAATCATTTTCACCAATCATCCAAATACAGTGTGTAGATCATAAAAGAAACTATCACCAACATGTTCTAGAAATAAGTTTAATAGAGTTTCAAATAATTATTTCCAACTGACCAGGAAGTAATGGATCCTGGGAAATGACAATATATAAAATGAACCATAAGTACAAACTTAAAAATAGCACAAGAACATGTGCATGTTAACTATTTACAATTTTAAACAGAATAGTCTATTGAGGGCCTTCTGCATTGACCAACGCAGCAAGCCTGTCCCTTGTTGCATTTCCTGGTCTCTCATGTGCATGAGGAGCTTCTTGGAGAGGAGGTCCCAGGTCCAGGATGTCCTGTGCCACATCATTGTCTGGTTCCAGGACATCGCCATTGTCCAGGCAGACATTGTGCAAGAAGGCACATGATGCAATCACTTGCGGTGCAAATGTAGGTTTAACCTCCAAGGCCCTGAACAGAGTTGACCTCCAGCGAGTCTTCATCATGCCGAATGCTCTCTCCACAATAGAACGGGCCTTTGAGTGGTGGTAGTTAAATTTTCTTTGCACCCGGCAATTCACAGGTTCTCTGTAAGGAGTCATAAGAGAGATGGGTTCATCCAAACAAGGATATCCACCATCTCCTAGGATGAAGTATCCATTAGGTGGATACCTTCTAGCAATGTAGAATGAACTGTTTTTTAAAATGCGGGTGTCGTGTACGGAACCTGGATAGCCCACGAAAATATCCATGAACTTTCCAGTATGGTCACAGAGGGCTTGCATGCTAATGGAATAAAACCCTTTGTAATTTCAGTAGTCCAGACGATGAAGCGATGGAGGCTTGATTCGAACATGACAACCGTCTATGGCACCAACAGCTTTGTTTAGGACTGGTGTCCCCGCCAGCTGGGCAAATCCATTACCCACAGTGTCGATGTCTGCAGGCTTTGGAAAACTGATGGCTCTATTTAGATTGTCCCAAAATAACTGTGCCACTCTGTGAACAATCCTGTGAATGGTTGATTTGGGAATACTGAAAACTCTGGACACCACACGGTAGGAAAGACGATGGGCAAGCCAGTAGACGTAGACGAGGACTTCATATTCATTTCCCCAACCATGGTTCTGCTCTCTCTTCATTAGACGCTGTAGGGAATGCATGGCCTGCCGCGATAATCTGAAATCCTGTCTGGTCTCCAACTCGACATCTAACCACAGGCGTAGGATAGGCACATCCGTGTTATCTCTGCAGTATGTCACTGGGCGGTCACTCTGGAAAAAAATAAAGATATTAATATGTGCAATAACCTCAGTGTTTACAACCCCTGCAATGTGACTATATCAATCAACCACCTGAATGTAAACAGTCATTTATTATTCATCAGCACTGCAGTGCTTTGTGTAGTTTTTTTTAGCTACACAAAGTTTATTTTATTCAGTGTACATAAGACATGTTTATACAGTCTATTGATAGATGCTAAGAGATTTTAATAAACTCAATTATTATAATAATTATTATTTTTATTAACACCATCTGTGTGATCTCCTTCATGATCAGGTAGCTTCAGCCATTTAAATTGTTCTCAATATACTGACTCTGATTCAAGCTTTCAGTAAACAATGGTCTGAAGTGTTGCTTGTTTACGTTCTGCTTATGTGACATAAATGATTGATTGACATAGCGAAAACAGTAATGCATCATGTTTAATCAAATGCAAAACTTGCAAACTTCTTAGACACAATGCTAAGCTAGTTGCTAGCTGACTTGAGCAAAGTTCCAACATTTAAAAAAAAAGACATACCTGAAACATCCCAGCTATTGCAAGCATACGGCGAACGCGTCTTCTGTTTCGTATGTTTCTTCTCCGTTGATTCCTCAAACGTACATAAATCAACATAGCACACACAACAGGCAGGAGCTCCGCTGCGGTCGGCATTTTCACATGAAAATAGTACTTATTGTATGTGGTTTTATTGCAGTTTACAGGCAATGTGTATTACTGCCGTCTACTGGACAGGGGTGAAATCAGGCACGTTGATGTTGCACGTGACGTAAGAACACGTTCGCTGCGCCAATTTGCATACTAGTGGTGTCCCATTTCTTAGGGGAAAATCTTCACTTTGCACTTCCCTCACTGAGGGCACTTTACTGTGGAGGGAACTCAGCGAGTGTTCTCAGAGGCAAGTGTTGGAATTGGGACAGGGCCTTAGTGTCCAACAGAAAGGATTGGTGATGATCCAGGACACTTTAGCATTCTACAACATGTATGGACATTTTCTTCTGTGTGTGCTTTATATTTTTCATGTGTTTTAACTGTTGATTCTCTGACCTGTGTTGGTGGTTTCAGTGGTGTTGTTAAGTCCTCTGAGATGACTTCTATTGTGACCTATGGCTATACAAGAAGAAATTGTATTGTATTGTGACATGGTACATCATTGCTTTATGGTGATGATGGGTGAGAAAAAAACAAGCTAAAACCAAACCAGCTATATGGCAAAAAAAGAATGAAATGAAAGGTTCACATGATGCTAAAGTATTCTATCCTTCCTATGTCTGTCAGCACATAAGTTTAGCATTCATCAGTGCTGAGGCCACCATTTTATTCCTCGAGAGATAAGCTACTAAAAGGCTGAATGTCTGTATGGATTCAAATATTTTGCATATTTTATCATCTAAATGAGCGCCACAAAGAAGAAGGCATTTACGGAGTGATTTTTGATGCCATCGTTCCAACATCATTAGCGTTAATGTCATCGCTAATGTCCCAAAATATCCTCCGCCGCCTTCTTTGACATTTGAGCGTTTTGTTCCAGAGCCGCAGCCCGAGGAGCATCACACGCTCATTCTTCACTTGGACGAGTTCAGAGCCTTAAGTCCCTGTGGAGAAAAGTATTTATACAGCTGTCATCTCCAAACGGGACGCTGCGGAGCCAGTCCTACCCTGAGAGACAAAAGAGGCGTTCGTCCCAGGGACCCGCAAGAGCAAAGGACAGTCAGAAGTGTTTTAAAAATAGTGTTTCTAACCATGACACTACAAACGGAAGCAAAAAGAGACAATGATGCAGTAGTGGAAGCCTTCAAAACAACGTCATTTTGTTTTTGGTCATAAACTTTGTATTCTGCATGTGATAGTTTTGCCTGGAATGTTTGACCAATGGCATAAAGCTATCAGTTCATAACATGGTCAGGACGAGAAAAAAACCTCTGTCTAGTGGTGGAAGTCTGGAATTTCATTATATTAGTTTTTATTGTTGTTTACTGTGACATGGATTATGTGATGTGCATGTATGTTGTAATGGATATACATAACAAGTTACATTCTATGTGCAAGACCAACGACTAGGAAATGAACTGAAGAGTACAGAGTGAAACTGTAAGTGTTAAGAAATAAGTTTAGGAATGTCTAAAGGTATAAATTGTCACATTTGTTTTACAGGTATTGTTTTTGGGGCCCTGTCCGTAAGCTGCTTCTTCCTGGGAGATTCCCAAACAACTACAAACTTTACTAAGAGAATGTGTATAATGATTTTGTAAATGAAGAGAATTGAATTATTAATAAACAATGGTAAAATGGAACAAACTAATTAGAAGATGTAAAAATCATAATATAACTGATAATCGTTTAGTTTTAAAAGGCAGAAAACATAACTTGTTGATATAATTAATAATTTGCCATAGTGTTCCGAGTTACCTTTAGAACGAAGAAAGGGAGACATGACAAGTTCCTGATACCCATAGGACGGAGGTAAAATCAACTAAACAATGTTTTTGAGGAGGGAAAACCTTTTGATTACAAAGTCAAATTAGTTGAATCAAATTGAATAAGTAAAATATCATACATTTCTTGAGGAACTGAGTCGAAATGATAAAGAAAGGAGATGTTCCACCAGAGCTATGAAAGAGAGGAAAGAGTCATTGATTAGATTACTCATAACTGACCAACTTAATGCCCAACCCTTCTCCTTCGACGACATTATTCCCAGGACTGGTTATGACCCCTGGCTGCTAAACTCCACCAGCCAACTCTCAAAACAAACGTAATGAGATTTGAAAATGTGTCTTGCGGGCTTGTCTTACCTTGCTTTGTTTGTCTGGTCTTGGATAAAATAAGCTGATTACGGGCGCGTGGAAATGGCTGTGTTTTTGTCATTAATCTCATTGAGCGGCCTTGCAGTGAGAACATCAGGTGCGACGAGGCCAGGCGGTTTCTTCTTTCCTCTTTTTAACATGCTCGTCCCCAGCTCCACTGTGACGGCTGCAAGGCCCCACACGCACTGATCAATGCTATCTTTGGGCTGATGTGTTTGGTGGCTTATTAGCACTGGACAAGAGCCAAGAGCAAGGGGTATGGGGATTTTTGAGGAACTCTTAAACTTTACCACACATGTATAATAATGTTGTATTTGTTTGATCAAAATATACTCAACAATATATCGAAATTGTGAAAATATGGATGAAGCTAAGATTTAAAGATATGTGCAAACTTCAGGAAAGTCTATAATAATTGTATGTGTCCTCTACAAAACAGCCCATGTGGAAAAAAATCACATTGTGCATCCAGTCAAACTGTGGTGCATGTAGTGTCGAGCAGGTAGAACCAAAGATAATATTGGCGGTACAGTAAACCACTCTACCACCAAAAATAATAATTTGAATAAAGAATTATTTGTCAACACATACATGTCGTTATTGTTCATTAACACGTCAACACTACTACGGCTGAGAATTAGCAGTTACGCTAAGTCCGGCACATTTACACTGACGCTTAAGGCATCAATGTTTATGAATGTGCATTGTCCCAACTCAATAAATAAATACATAGAATTAAACAAGGGGATAATGTTCTTCTGGACAAGTGTGTTTTGTTTGATTGATGGGCTTTAACATCCAGGTGGTTTGGACTTTTCCCACCAATGTGACTGGAATAGGCCCACACATAGTGCTGTAGTGACCCGCCTCATGGTAAAGTTTTCAAAAATGTGTTTGTTTTTTTTTTGCTTGTGCTAAACACTGCAATTGCAAATAAAACTTTTGTATGACTAAATGTCAAAAGTCAGGAAAGCGTAATTGCGGTGCTCTTCTGTTACTTCCCTGCGTAATTGTCCAACATTTATGAAATTATGGCTGTACTTTCTTGTCCTTTCTGCCAGGTCCAACCACATGACTTTTATGCGCACAGCCGCTCTCTGTTGGGGTTTTGTGGATTGTCTGCGTCTCGGGGACTTAACGAGGGTTTAGGAGCATCTTGAGCTGAGCCAAACACTCACAAGTCTATAATTAGAAGTTTCAACATTATTATTCTCCATCTGCCTCCACCTTTAAGACACTTCCAAGAAAAAAGTCACTCACACTTTGAAGTAGTTTGAAAACTTTTTGTTTGTTTCACTGCAAAAAGAACACGTACTGTAATACTTTAATAAAGCTCTAATTATCTTGCTCTGTGATTGATGCATGTTTGTAATTTTGCATGGTTTTGTTGAATATTTTGAGAATATATTGTTATTTAAAAATGTTGTGTATGCACTCATTTTAATGTCCTTCACTGCAAAAATAAGTCACAAGTAAGTCACAACAAATGCACATAAAGACAGAATACATTCACAAATGGTAAAAGGAAGTGAATAATTCAGAGAGAAATCCGAACACTTTGTGTGGGAAAAAGAATGTGACTCATGCATGAATCATACATATACATACATTTATATACAGTATATACATACAGTATATACTATATAAGTGACGTATTGTCCTGTATATATGATATGAAAGGAATAGTTATGACCAACTAAGTCTGCTTTTAGGTGTCTGGACAGCTCAGACATGTTAAGCTGTTTTGCTGGCTTGTCATGTTACGTCTACAAATATATGGATTTTCTGGATAATTTACTGAAAAACCACAAAGAAGACAACAATGAAGTGAACGTTTGTCTGAAACTGAAAACTGGCGCTTGCATAAATGAGACGGCATGAGTTAATATTACGTGGAATCCCCAGTTCCAACAGACGTCTTGTCCCGTATTTTGCTTCATCTACTTTCCCATTAACCCTGATGCTATTCCCTGTCCCTCCTGACAGAAAGCAGCTCCATAACATGATGCTACCACCCCCATATTTGATACTGGTGATGATGGGTGATGAACAGTGTTAGTTTTGAGCCATACATTTCATTTTTTGTGCCTGATGATAACCTTAACATGCCTTTAACTCCTCCACCCTCCTTTGGCTAGGAGGGTGCTAGCCAAAGCCACCTCCATCATGAACAATACCTCCCACCCACTGCACAGGACTGTAGAGGAGCTGAGGAGCTCCTTCAGTGAAAGACTGAGACACCCTCAGTGTAGGAAGGAGCGCTACCGCAGGGCCTTTATCCCCACCGCTGTCAGACTGTACAATAAGTCACTTTAAATGATCACTGTGTGAAAACCTGCACTACTATTGACACTGTTTCCAATTGACACTTGTCACATTTGTTGTACATAATTATTGTCACTTTTATTGTACATATATCCTGCATGTAACATGTTTGCACATTTCCTCCTTTTGCACAATCTGAGTGTCTCTATCCATGCCAAATGTGACATTAAATTTCTCCTATGTGAGATAAATAAAGCACATCTTATCTTATCCCTGACCTCTATGGGTTGTTCCTTGGACTTCATACTATTGGTGATAAAAGCTCTGAGGCCATCAAATAGTAGTAGCTGAGTGTAGACGTCACTCAAGTGGGCTCTTTTTAAACCCTAAGGCAAAATGTTAGATTTAGTCATTTAGGCCAGGTTTAGACGGAGACGCTGCAAATCAATTAGCAAAAACAACCAGGATCCTTAT